TCAATGAATGTTTGTAATCAAAATATCTTATATTTTAAAATATCCAATCTTACTAGCCAATGAAGATTGAATTATCATATTTATGCTTCTACAGAAAAGGTGGACAAAGTGGAAGCAACTTTATCCAAACCTATTCAGTTTAATTTGAGAAAAATACAAATATAAATCCTACATTTTTAACATGTTTTGGTATTAATCTTATAATTTTTTGTAGTTTCAAATCTCTTAAATATGATATATCTACAATGTTAGTCCCCAATATTTTTAATTATAACCCTAAGCAATCACGTATATAAATATTATTACTTTTTATACTGACTTGTTAAAATTATAACGAGTTGTATAAAAAAAAGCAGTGTGAGAAAAGCAAGCAAGATATTAAATCAAAATTTTTAAACGTGCAATGAATGAAGCTTCAAGAGAAAGAAAATATGTCGCACACATGATAGATGATGTGACATCATCATTTTTAAATATAGATATATTTAGTAAGGGATTAGTCGTCCTTCACTAAAGTTATCAAATTTTAAATAGTATTAGCGAGGGATTAATAAAGGATATGGCCCTCTCTAAAAATTAGGAAAGGACTGAATTCCTTGCTAATTAGTGAGAAGATATGATCCCTAATTAAATTTAACAAACCGTTTTTTAGCTGTGAATTTAGTGGGGTACAAAACCCTTCACTAAAATAATTTAGTGAGGAAAAATGACATTTAGTGAGCGATTTATCCTTCACTAAATTCAATTTTTTAAGTAATGGCTGCATATTTTTATAAAAGAGAATCACATTCAGCCTCCTCACAAAAATTAATTAGAGATAACAACCAACAATAAGTCTCATTTGAGAAAAAAAAAGTTATGTTCTCATTTAACAACAATCCATTCCGTATTAATCTTTATCTGTGATTAATTTCTTGAGGGGGCTGAATGTGATTCTCGCTTTCTATAAATGTGTGTGCCTTTCATATTTTTATAATATTATGCATTTATAATTTATTTTTTATGTTCCGGTTCGATATGCTTGCTATCAAGTTGAACTCATGACTATAGGTTAATATATAGCAATTATTTTTTACGTTCAATTCAAAATCTACCTAGACTGTGTATAGTACATCTAAATAATCAATATATAATAATTATAAAAATTTTAATATAAAATTAAACTCTCAATTAATCTAGACCATATTAAAAATAAAAAATTATGAAAATTATTTTATAAATTTTGTAATAAATATAAAATAAAATAATACTTTAAATTAGATGGTTCATATCTTATCACACTCATGAGCATGATCATACTCATAAGTGTGATGAGCATTGAAATAAGGCCCCATTTATACATAGGTGTGAATTGAGCTACTAACTTTGCTTCTATCATGAAGGATTTATTGCCGTTATGCGTCAAGCCATGAGATTATTAGCTTAAGGATTCAAAGAATCATTAACCATTAATTATTTGTTACATAGCACTTTTTTGTTTAGTTTTTTTTTTTTTCAAGTTGAAAAGACTTCCGGTATAATATATTGAACAAGACTATTAATTTTTTTTAAAAATATTCATAATATGGAAAAATATAATGTCAATGTATTTAAAAAAATATAATTTCAATTAACCGCAATAAATAAATTCTTCTTATACAAATGTCACGTTAGTAAATATTAAATGAATAGTAAAAAATAGTAATCAATGAATGAAAAAATATGATAACTGTAGCAATTAATTAAAGAGAAATAGAAACACTCAACAGTCGTAATTATTTATCACCTGATCAAATGGTTTATGTCCAATGTTAAGGGTTATCCTTGCAATTTTCCACTATATATTCTGCAATATTTACCAGGAACTCTTGTTGTCACAAAACAATCACAAACTTTTCTTGAGTCTTAATGCTTTAGTTTCACTCTCCTTATGATGAAAATTCAAATATTGATTCAAGAATCCCTCTTCCTTAAGTATTCCATCAAAGAAAAATACAATATTTTTTGGCTCAAACTCTAAAAAGTGAATAAAATAGTGAAATGCAAAATAGAGATGATTTGAGAAATTTAATATAAAAAATAGGAAAAAAATTCATTCAATGAATGTTTGTAATCAAAATATCTTATATTTTAAAATATCCAATCTTACTAGCCAATGAAGATTGAATTATCATATTTATGCTTCTACAGAAAAGGTGGACAAAGTGGAAGCAACTTTATCCAACCTATTCAGTTTAATTTTGAGAAAAATACAAATATAAATCCTACATTTTTAACATGTTTTGGTATTAATCTTATAATTTTTTGTAGTTTCAAATCTCTTAAATATGATATATCTACAATGTTAGTCCCAATATTTTTAATTATAACCCTAAGCAATCACGTATATAAATATTATTACTTTTATACTGACTTGTTAAAATTATAACGAGTTGTATAAAAAAAAGCAGTGTGAGAAAAGCAAGCAAGATATTAAATCAAAATTTTTAAACGTGCAATGAATGAAGCTTCAAGAGAAAGAAAATATGACAAATAAGGTAGCGACAAAAAGATTAGTGACTATTTTGCTCAAATAATGTCCAACTTATCATAATTTTACTAACTTAATAATGGAATTAACAAGTTATGTATATATCAACAGATTTAACTCCATCAGTGACGAATTGATGAAAAGGATTACTGTTATAAATTGATGGAATTTAAGAGACTTGAAGTAACCAAAAAGTATAAAATTAATAACCAAAACGTTCTAAAAGTAAAATAAATGCAAAGCCTGACCCTAATATTATATATCTTAAACAGAAGGGAATAAATTTTTGTCATGTTAATTAACTCACTTTCTCTTTCTATTCTTTCTTTCTTTTGTCTTCTTTCCTTTCTTCCCAATTCCCATGACTCCTCCATTTAGGATTGTGCAAAAACTTGATTGTTCTGTCCAATCTTGTCTAACTCAGACAAATTTGGTTTAGTGAAAAAAAAATAGTCTAAAAAAACCAAAGAGACAAAAAAAAAAAAAAACCAAGTAGATTACTTCCGGACAGAAAACCAAGTTCTCATATCATTTAGTCTAATCCTATAAAATTATTTTAATATAATTTTAATTATTTTTAATATATTTGACTAGTTTGAAGTTTGAATGCAACATTTCCGTTATTCACATTTTACCCTTCTTTTAATATAATTTTAATTTAGTTTATTGATTAATTGTTGTTGTAATGTAGATTGGACTTATTGCTCAAGTGTATTGCATATTGTTGTTCCTAGTTATAAATTTAAATCATTTGGATTGTAATAATTAAAATATTTTTTAGTGTTGCTATTGGAGATTGATATGAATTTTTTATAATTATAAGTATTTTTATTACCTTGAGTTTATTATATTGAAAAAAATCATTGCCTCTTATAGAGGGAAAAAGGTAAAACAAAAAAACAAAAGTAAACATATCGAGACTAATCTTTCAATCCTATAAATTAAATTCAATTTTATTAATCTTTAAATTATAATTGAACCAGATTGAACTATGAGTTCCCCAACATAATCCTTCTCATAAAGAAATTAGACTTCATGTTATGTCAAAATCCAGTTCGTGTTGACCCTACCTCCAATTACCCCTCACTACCATTTAGAAAGCACAGTGCGGGTATTCAAGACTGCTGGAACCCAAATGAGCCTGGTCTAGATTTTTTTTCAGGCCTAATTTGAGCGAGTCCAAAAAGCTTGATTATAAGAAAAAGAATAATTTTCTCAAGTCCAATCCTAACATTTCTCGAGTTTATTTGAACTGTCCCGTTAAACTTGACTCGAGCTGTGGGCTCCAGTTGATTAGTTAGTCTGTCTATCTTCTCCTATCTATCTATTTGTCTTTGTACTTTAATTGTGAAATCCATCTGGTTACTGTTGATGAACAATTCCCCCCACAATGTCTCATTTTATTTATTATTAATCCATCTGGGGGCCCTCCTTTAATGTTTTGGAATTGCTACAGAACCAAAATTAAATACACACGGAAAAACAAAAATAAAATGAAACTATATACTCAATTAGAAACTAATAATTGAAAATAAAAATAGGGACAAACTAATAAAAAAAAACTATTCCAAGAAATTATATGGTCTAACTGGGTTAAAATAAAAAATTGTGAGGCCCAATTAAAAATAACTCCCAAGCGAATTTACACAAATTCAATCTCGAGACCTTGTGCTTAAATGACAATCCTTTCCATAAACTAATGCGTGGCGATTTACCAAAAAGTAGTGCATGTTGGGCGAAAAGCTTCTTTTTTTAAATTGATTTTTCTTACCATTTTCTCTCTCTTAAAATTTTATAATCCTGATTATCTATTTTGAAAAAACTAAGATCATCGATTTCCCTTCTCGTCTCTCTTAAATCAAGGATCAAATTTCCTGTACGATCACGGGGTCTAAAATGTAATCTAATTAATTTTATCCTTACAATTGCGTTATGCATAATGCAATTGAAAAAAAAAAAATGTTAAATCCTCCGAAATTAATTATTTATTATTAGTAAGAAAAATAATTAAAGAGGAAAGGACTCAAGTGTCCTCAGCATATCCTTACACCTTTCTTACCCCCTTCCTTTATTCTCTATGTTACATGGCCACAGAAACAAAGATAAAGGAAAACACTTCCGGAAAATATAAAATTGCATATTATCTCGAGAACAGTTCCTATAGCCTACGCATGAATCTAAACAATATTCAATAATCAATACTCAATTGGGTGGAATTAGAATTAGCCGAATCATGCATTGTAATCATAAACGACAACACATGAATGAATCATACATTAAAGCATTATGATTCCAATCAAACATGTTCCTGGATGCCTATAAACTGTGTACCTGATTTCATAATTTTTTTTAAAAAAATCAGTTTGATAAACTAAAAATTATTCGAACAATATGATATGAAAATTTGCCATAATTAGCTTTGACCTACATTTCAAAGTTACTCATAGCTGCATTTGCAAAATGGACTTGCAGTTCTATCTCGAATAGACACTTTAGTACAGCAAACACGCTCACAGTATATTGCCAAAAGGACGTTTTGAATATCAAAAGCCATATCCAAACATATACTAGACTATAAATAGACATTTTGAGTACAGCAAACACGCTCACAGTATATTGCCAAAAGGACGTTTTGAATATCAAAAGCCATATCCAAACATATACTAGACTATAAATAGCGGTAACATTCCTAAAATTTAAATAATAAAAAAAGTGAGAAAAAGATAATAACGAAAAAAGCCACAGCTTTTTCAAAATTTTTAGTCCGAACCTTCCGTACAACAAAAAAGGGGAAATGGCCTAACCAGTTTTGACTGCAAGTCTGCTTCCAAGTAAATGTCCAGCAGAATCACATGAAAATGGTTGACCTGCAACTACCTGCATCTAACAACATACACATTCAATAACAAAATATTCAACTGTCCTCGACACTCAACTTTTCTAAACTCTTTTACTACCAGGGGGAAAAAAAAAGGGTCCAACTCATGTATTAAAGCATTGCCCACTGATCTATGAATGTCCAAAAGAAACCAAATACAAGAACACATTATACATTGTCAAAGGTCTAGGCAATAAAAAGCTAATTCCAATTTGTGTGTAAAATGCTTCAAGAGGAAATATTAACCTGATTCCATATAATAAACAAGTGGCATAATGACATATTAGTTTCAAATATAAATCTCTAGATATTAGGATGTCAGTTTGATCTGTAGGTGATTAGTAGAAGTTGATTTGTAGAGAAGTAGGATTGCAGGCAGTTCTAGCTTCACTGGTTACTAAATATAGATGCTAGAAAAATCTTACTAAATAATGGTAAGAAAATGATAAAACTCTAGAAACAGGATGGAGCAGCTAGATCGTGTTTACTAAACAACCTAAAATCTACTAAGTTAAGATCCTGGAATTTATCAAGAAACAAGAAAAATCCTTGGACTGATAATTATACCTGAACTTTTTCATCGTTTTACAGACAGCTTTTATTTATAGCTGACCTTTTATAAGTGTAATAACCTTTAATGAATAGTAGACAATCTTCTAAGCTTACTTTATTCATTTAATTGCACTAAGTCTACCATAATTACCTTAAGGATATGATTGCTCGGAACTTCCATTGTCCAGCCTTACAAACAATATTATTATTCCCAAAATCAAACCACTTTGAATTATAGCGTGAAAGTCGTGCTTAGTTTATAGCCATTTTGGAAAATGATTATTGAAGTAGTTGTCCCCTGGTGGAAACAATCATTTTCGGCACGTTTCTTCAAAAAATATTTCATATACAATAATGCAAGAGTAACTATTCATTCATATTTCATAAAATATATGATGATCATATGCCAAATTAAATGTATCACTTGGATCACATACATCCATTTCCCAATCTGATCCTATACAACACAAGGGAATACTATTATTGCAAGGAATCAAATATTGCAAAACAGGCACATCTTTTGTGATACTTGAATGATATGGTTCTTCCCCCATACAATCCAGTTTCAAGGGTCATTTCCTATGCCTACTTAGGTTCCAGTCAATTGGTCTCGTACTGGATCAACTTCCAAGAAGCGGGCACCAAAAGAGTAGCCATCGAGGACATAAACTCTTCAAAGGTGCTATGATAGAGTCCACATGGGGCAGCCAGTGATTCTTGTGGTATTTAGGTGGCAAGGTTCTTCCACCTTACCAACCAGTTTCTTGAGATGGGATTTCCCATGTTTTCTTAGTTTTCTATCAGAAACCCAACATGACATGGCATGAGACAATTACACATAAACACTAAAAAAACAACCACAATGCATACTCACGCAGTCTTCAAATCCTCACTTTTTAAACATTTCAGTTAGCAATCAATTCTCAAAGGCAAACACAACTGATATCACCTTTATCATAGTTTCTATGCACCAAACAATTAGCTTACTCTCATAAAGAGATATACAAACTGAAAAAATATAAAATTGAAGTAAATTATCCAAATCATTCATGCATAACAAAAACAAAGAATTTTTATCATCTCATCAAGAAGTTGTTCTAGTGACATCCAATTCTTATCTCTTCCCCTTCTTGAGACTGCCTGAGTTTAGCTCTGTTTGAGCGAAATAGAATTATTCCAGCAACTGCTGTGTCATGCATCTCTTAGTTATGTCAGTGTCAAACATAAGGACACAGAACCATGAAAATAGGTGGCCTGTTCGACCATAAAAAAAGATATCTCTGGGCCCACTCATCTTCACTGCTGATATATTGTTTTGGGAAAGATCACTAAGAAAGAAAAAAATTAGCCGGTTGAGGATTTGCATATGCCATTTCTATTTTTTTTTTTTCAAATCATCAATATATTAATATCCATATATAATATAAAGTAAAAAAGTTTAATAAGGCATCACATATTTTATCAAAAATAAAAAATGGCATCACATAGGACTACCCCTTAACATGAACCCATAAAATGATTTAAAAAAAGTTTGGAAAGATGAAAATATCTGGATTCTGGAACTTTTGGAAGGAATAGATAGCAGAGAAACACTTTACATCCCTTCCCCTATAAGGCATTAATTTTTGCTCACCCTAATCAGGGATGTAAAGAGGTGAAACACAACTTTTTTCTTTTTTCTTTTACCATGTGACACCTTTGCCCTAGAAATTCTACAATAAATTATGTCAACATTTTCCAAAATTCACATTTTCCTATCGCACATATGATATGCCTTCTCTCCATTAATGTATATTTCACTCTACTCCAGATCCCAATGATTTTGAATGCATAATCATCCTCATATCTAAATTTTCATAAAACAATATCATATCTTCCCTCATTTTAAAAATCGTTAGCTGTCATTTGAATATAAGTCCTTTCATTTGTTGCCTCTACTACAACAATACACTTCCCAGAACAACTACAGACAATGAAGTTTGCCCAAATACCTTTTAATCCCAGTGATTGTACACATAAAGATGGAAACATAATAGAGCCCATTCTTCATTGGAGTTTTGTATGCTATGTTAAACAAAAGGACTATACTGTACTTCAGTATCATTATTAGAACTCCAAAGACAAAGGGAATCGAATCTCTGTCAAAAATTTAAAATTTCATTATTGACCTTCCAGAGAGAAGATAGATTACTCAACACATTCCGTATCTTTCTCTTTTCTTGATCTATCAGACCATTAAGTATACTACTTCCAAACATGGACAAGGAGACAAACCACTCGACCAGAAGAAAAAGCCAGCCCTCAACCCCGAGACCAAAGAAAGAGACAGGGTATCACCCTATATCAGGCAATCCAAAATCATCGCCTATAGACTCAAACACACATTTATATGGCTGTGAAGCCACAGAAAACATGTATTAGCTCCAAAAACAAAATAAGCTTCAGAGAGCATCATTTGGAAAAAATTGATATTGAAGTAACCCTTTACATAAAGTCCTGCTTCACCAAGATAATAAAGCTATTTCCAAACAGCCTCCTAAATTCTCTCACAAATGAGAGATTAAAACAATTTCTGGAACAAAAATAAACCAATCATCCACGAAGAGTATAACATAAAGAATGTACAGATTACAACAGGACAGAAACATTGAATTTAAAAGCCTCATGAATTAACACCAAACTTTGGTACAAATTCAACTTCTTAGGACAACATGCCTCGGGAAAAAGTGCAAATCTCTTCAAAATTCCCATCAAGGCATGAAATCTAGGCTCAAAGCATGACCTAGACTAAATCGCATGGGAAGGCTACAATGTGACCCCAAAAACCAAGATTGACAGAACATACAATCACATTACATATCAGGATATGAACTTAATATTATTAAAAAAAAAACGGAAAAAGAATAGATCATTAACCTGTAGTTCTAGATAAATAGGAATGTCACATAATCATCATCTAAGCTTGATCATCAATCTGCTTGTTTTCCACATCATTAGTTGTAGCAGTTGCCTCCCCACCATCACCACCCTCTGTTGGAGGTTGAACTTGTTCCTCCTCAGGCAGCGGCTCCTCCACATAGTCATTCTCAAATGCATCAGCTGGAACCTCATAGATCCTAACTTGAGGCTTAGATGGATCCTTCACTAAAACATACTTCCCCTCGTTCAATTTCATGCACAAGTCAACAATAGACTTGACAATTCCCCACATATTTGATGTGTTCAAATTAATTTGAGCTGCAAAGTCTCTAGGTTTATAACCATTTACAGCCAAAATCACGTGATTAAAATGATCACGGGGATGAACACGGGAGACATAACCCAACTTCATCATATCTGCACTTGCCAACAGAGCTTGAGCAGTCCATTTAGCCAACTTATTTGCGTTATTCTTCAGCTCTGTCGCCAAAACTGCACCCCTCTGTGTCTCCAATTTCTGTCTCCAATCAACACCAGAATATTTGGGATCAAATTCATTCAAAGCATTCAAAGTAAGGAAGGACCTCTGATTGTTCATATCAACAACACTCTGAACTTCACACCTTCCCTAAGAGAATTCTCAGCATTCTCTAACAATAATGTTTTAGGTGTAATCTTTTAACCTTCAAAGGTTTTAGCACATCTATGCTTCCAAATATGCTGAGTTAAAGTAGCAACTAGTGTAATACCCTTCATCAATTAAGTCAAAGTTAAGAAAATCATAAAACTAAAGATCAAAACAAGTTACATGAAGGTCATCCATTTTGATAGTTAGTGAATTGGCAAACCAAACTTTCTTCACCCAATCACAAAGTATGAGCATGTGTTCAAAACTTTCAAGATGATCAAAATAGCAAAGGCAAAAAGGGTTGGTTCTGCATTTTTGTTTCCATAATTTCTCATTTGAAGGTATAGCTCCATGTAAAAGGCGCTAGAAGAAATGTTTTATCTTGTTGGGTACTTTAATCTTCCAAATATCTTTCCAAAGAACATCTAGCATAAGAGTAGAAAAGGAAGCTCTTAAGGTAACAAGGTTAGGGACTTGGAGAGATTGATAGTCGAGTTCAATAGTATACATGCCACTTTTTGCTTTGAACTAAAAAGGTTTATCAATAATAATCCTTCTAGAGAGTGGAATGTTAAAAATTGTAGTTTTTTTCAACTTTAATAATCCAATCAGAAATGGGATCCAGATTCTAATGACCATCCATAATAACTACTAACCAGCCTTTGTTTTGCTTCCTTACTAGGTGTTGATGAAGAAGCATATGATTGTTTAAGGCAAGGATCCATGGATCTCCCAAGATTCTAGCAAGCTGACCATTACCAATTTTCTAGCACAAATTATTAAGATTAATTTCCTACCATCCAAAAGACTATTCCAAGCCCATGAAGCTCTAACCCTTCGGACGACATTCAAAAAAGAAGTTTTAAGGAAGTAGATACCTTTAATAAACTTTACTTGTAGCTCATTTGAATTAGAGATAAGGCACTAGTGTAACATCCTAAATTTTAAACTTTGAAATTTCAAGTGTTTAGGAGGGTAATTTTTCAAAATAAGTGATTTATGAACTAATGATGTTTTTGGAACACTAACAAAGTTTTTGGACCTTTGGACAACTTGGGATATAAGCTAATATGGTGTACGAATCCTTTAATCTCGAGCAAGAGGCCATTTTGGCATGTGACATTTGCTGTGCCATATGTCATGGTGCCCATGGCGCATGGCCATTTTTTGGGATAAACCAGATATGAAAATACATATGATTTTTGAGAGGAAAAAGAGAGACATAAAGGAGCAATGGAGGAAGAACTTGTGGTTACTAGGGTTTGATCTTTCGAGCATTTCAAGAGCATTTGAGCAAGAATTACCATTAAATAAGCTTCCTATTCCTCTCCTTCCTCTTTTATGCAAATTTTTGATGAACTTGAGAATGGTTGGGGCTTGGTTTCATCTCTCCTTGAGTTATAACGAAATCCATTACCTTAGTTGAGGTTTTGGAGAGTTAAATTAAGTTTCTAAACTTAGGTTTTTGGGTACTAAATGGGATTAATAGAGTGTGTTTGAAGATTTGATGTTGATAAAATGAGATCTTTGAGTATAATGAGTACCTAAAATTTAGTGATTTTGCGATTTAATTAGAGTAATAATCGATGATTATAGTTAAATTGTGTAGATTATATATTGCTCGAGTGTTGTTACACATGTCGGCCTTGTGGAGCACATATTTAAAACATGATAACTATTTTTGTGACAAATGGTTGAGGTAACGAAACAGTTTATTTTATTTGATTAAGTGCTTACTTATTTGTGAGTAAATGTATAATTTTACATATATGTATTTAGAAGTGTTGCATATTATGAAATGAAGATTTTGTGCATAGAAAGTGACTTTTAAAAAGCAATAAATTCATAAAAGTATTGTTATATGTGTAAATTATGGTTTGGGTGCAAATATATGAATTTTCATGAAAGTGTGAGCATGATTATGATAGGGAGTGAAAGTTTACCCATAGTAAGGAGTAGTGAAAGTTCATATGGCATTTATCTCCTTAGTGCCTAGTAAGGTACGGCGTTGGAGATTATCTCCTTAGTACCTATGTAGGGTATGATGTTAGAGATTTACGTTCTCTAGTATCAGTGTGGTGCGGTGTGTAGAGTAATGACACCCTGAATTATGTATGATAGGAAGAAATCATAGTTTGGAAGTGGGATAAGACACCTTTAGCCAGGTGATCCTACTATTAAAGGTGAGCTCGGGCCATTGTGTGTGTGTGCTTGGTCTAATAGAGCCTTTGATTTTAGTTAGGGTGATATGGAGGCTCAGATGGTAGAATGATTATGCTATAGTGGTAATGACCTATGATTATGGAAAAGTTTATGTTTAAATATGCTAAATGAGTTTTTTACATATACAAGCTTTATTTGTGCATGTTAATTAATAGTTGTGAATTATTCTATTAATGAGATGTTTGTCTCACCCCCTAGTTATATTTTACAGGTAAGGGTTTCAGTAAGGGCAAAGGGAAGAAAAGGACTATCAAGGATTAAAGAGCTTTGTTGGTATAGCCCTTCCCTTTATGCTTTGGTATTGTAACAAATAGCTTATGAATTATGTGCCAACTTAGGATCACTCATTGTTTTATATTTACTTGCATGAGAATTGTGATGGATGGGTGTGCATCTTGACCTAAAATGATATATTTGTATTGAAATTATTATGAGAGGTTGAGATATTATTAGTGTAGGTGACATGTTTGTATTGTTTGTGTTAGGTTGGCCAAAATGATATTTGTGATGAATTATGGACACCCCTTTGAATTCATTGTGCAATCGGGTTTTGGTGGTCAATTTGTGTTTGAATTGTTGTTGATGTGTTGTAATTGCTCTATCCGGTTGTTTGTGGTTCATTTGAGTTGGTCTAAGTGGTTCCATAACTTTTAGCACTAGGTTGTGGGTTATTGATACTTTTGTGTGTGTTTTGAATTGAAAATGAACCAATTTGAGTTTGAGTGTCCAACTCTTAAATGGTTGAGTATTTAGGTGTGAGACCAGTGCCAATAGTTAGGTAGCTTAAAGAGCCACATATGAGTGCTTGAATCATTCAAATCGAATGTCGGATGGCAAAACAGTATGCTCTCAAAGTTGGTCTTAGAGTGTATGACAGTAGACATGTGTTGTGGGGCATGATAAGTATGCCATGGCATAATGCCTAGAGAGTGACATAGTCCCTTTATGCCATCCATTGCGATAGATGGAGCAATAATTTGGGATTTTCCAAATTGTTCAATTAGCTTTCCTTTGGGTTGTTATGGGTTTTTATGCTTTTGTTATTTTGTATAATTTGTTTTTAAACCATTATTTAAGATCAAAGATTATTTTTTTCAAAGGGTTTTCTTAGAATCCCAATATTTAAAATAGTTATTTCTAAAACCTTAGGTTGTGATGGCTTTATTTAGGGATTTTAATTAATTCGGGTTATTGCAATGATTTCGTTAGAGTGTTGTTTTGGTAATGTCAAGGCGGACGTTATACTTTGGTATTAGTTTCACGTGTTTGGAGATTGGCATCCCATGATTAAAGTGTTAAATATTTTGTATGTTGCATTCATGTGTAAAAGTTGGCATATATATTCATTACACTTACTTTCCTTTTGTGTAGTTGTTTAACTCATTTACTTACTCTTTATGTGATTACTTCCATCTTTAGGAAGGGAGAGAGGATGGTAAGAAGACGATCAGTCAAAATTGTTACTAGTGGTAACCTATTTAATACGGATGTGGTATTGAAAATAAATGAGCTATTGTTAGAGAATCATATTCCTATTGGTCAGAATTTGGAGCAACCAAGGAATGAGTCACAAGGCAATGAGGTACTACTACTCGAAATGAGGAATCTGATACAAGAAACCCATCACTCAATAGGGGGACAAGGTACACCCAAAAATGAAAGAGCAAGAAGAGACAGTAGGACCATTGAGGACGAAGAGGATATGTATGAAGAAGGCGATGAAGCATATGAAGAGAGTATGCCCAAACAATCTAGGGCTTTGGGTGGCAATGGTTTACAAAATTCTATAAACCGAGCTTGGAAGAGCTTTTCATGATTTCATCCACCTACGTTTGATAGAATTATGAAAGAAAGGAATGTTGAAGAGTGGATTGAGCGGATTGAAACAATTTTTGAGATAGTACTATGCTTAGAGGAGGTGAAGATGATTTTGGCTTCGGTATTATTTGTAAAGGAAGCCAAACACTAGTAGAAGTTAGTAAGGCTGACGAATGGAGTCAAGTGGACATAAGATGAATTCAAAGTGAGGTGCTTCAATTTCTACTTCCCGTTGGTCTTTAAAGCTAAGAAAGAGGTCAAGGGAAATCTTGATGAAGAAGCTTTCATTTTTAAATTCAATTAGTTATCTAAGTATTCCACTTATCTCATAGGAAATGGTGACTCTAAGCAGAAGGTTGAGAGATTATTAGAGAAGATGAAGCTGGGGTATTGGCAGTATAACATCCTCTATTTCAATCCCAAAAACTAATTGCTAATCAAGGATAAATTAGTAACTAGTAGATTGGTTGTGGTTTAGATGTTGAGTTAGTGTTTTGTGTTGTTTGGATATTGTATTGATAGGATTGAAGGGTAGAATGACAATCCAAGGCTTAATGTGCAAGCACAAGTGAGACCACGTGCCATGGTGCATGGTGCAGAATTTTTAATTAAAGGCTCAGTCAGATCGTGAAAATAGAAACAGAAGGAAGGGAAAAACATGTATGAGAGTTAAGGAAGCTTTATTTTTTAAAATAAAATTATTTTTACATGAGATGATGTGGCAAAATATGGGACATTAGATATTCATTGAATGACTAATATTGGGATACTAAGGCAAATGGCCTCTGAGAGGATTTGGATCCAATAAAAAGATAGGGACAGAGAGGGTGCCCTTATCTTAATCCCCTTTTAGATCTAATTTTTCCAATAGGCTGACCAAATAGAAGCAAATTAAACCAATAGTGGTGATAGAAATTATAATGCGTGCCATCCACCAAGGTGAAAAACCA